CTGGTGGTTAGTAAATACACACAGGCCATGTTATCAAAATTGCTCTCTGCTGACCTTGCCAAGGTTCATTTGCAGGCACCTGCCCTGCAGCCTTGCTGAGGCATTCGGACACCTTTCAAACACGTGTTCAGATGCCTCTGGCTGTAGCTGCCTGTCAGGCAGGCAAATCATTGCTCCTTGCTTTGAAAACACAGTGCCTACTGGTTCATTTCTGTACTATGCCTGGTTTCCTGGTCTTCACGAATGCCTGTCCCAGGGGTTTGCAGCTTGAGGAACTCTACAGAATATATTTGCCCTTATGGGGTTATGCGATTGCTTCAGCAGCCAGCAGTTGTCCCCCAGGAGAAGGGAAGTGTGCTTAGGAAAGCAGTCATTGGAGAGGCTCCCAACAGACCCCAGGAACTTCATGGGTGATCAGCAGCAGAGCTCATAGCAGCTGATGGGCAGGATTAATAAACCACTGTCTTATTCTCCCCAAAACTCATGGGCAACAGACTGATGTCTTGGACCTTCTCTTTCTCATCTTATAGCACAGCTAATTTTATTAAATGTAATTTAGTGAGCATGAAGGCGACAGTGGGGAATGTCCCTTGATGTGGTAACTGAGCAGCTTATAGCAAGGGATGCTCTTGTGGTAGTGTCTGCTGTGATCTTTTTTGTAAGAGGCTGGCTGTGGTTTTCTGACAAAAAGAGGAATCATCAGCTTTACCTGTTATGCTAAGCCAGAGCTTAGAGCTGTATTTACATTTATTAGAAGTGTTGGGTCACAGTGAGGCTATCTGAACTGAGCACACAGACCTCTGGCCCACGGCCTTGGACTGTACACAGCATCTCTTCTTTCCTCCTTGATAGGCTTAATCTCAGTCCTAATGTCAGCCTCTGTTATTGCAGCTCTGGAAGCAAATCAGTACTTGATTTCTTTTAAGGTCTGTTGTTAATTCTTGTTAGGTAAGAAAGCAGTAAGGAGGTGGGGAGCCCTGACTGTGAATAACATCTCCTGGCTCCCAGACATGCCAGTGTCTTAAAGTGATTCCAGCTGGAGGAATGGATTTCTGTTTGTCTTGAAGAGCCACAAGACAACGAGGACGATCGTTTGCATTCGCACACAGCTGCCTTGTGTCTTTCCTGAGAGCAAAAGGGTTTTGGTAGTAAAACTGCTGTCAGCTGAAGCGGTTGCCAATGTCACTCTGTTGATGGCTAACTCAGAGCCAGAAAAGTTATTAATCTGTTTATGTTATGGGCCCAGGACCAATCACTGGATGGAGCTGGTGGCAACCTTGGAAGAAAAGAGAGAGACCAAAATTAGAAACAGGCAGAGCTGCCTGTTAGAAGGCTGAGCTGCTGGGCTGTGCTCCAACATCTGGAGAGCACTAGGTGCCTCTGCAGCTGGGCAGGACTGCAGCACCAGGCAGCTGCAAGCTCAGGAGCGGAGAAGAAAAGCAGAGTAACTTGCTATGGATACGTACAACCTTACACGATATTTCTTGTCATCGCATACAGTGGGCACTATAGGAGAAAGCACACAGATTTGTCTCGGTTTGTACTTCCCACCTTAATCTTTGGCTGAGGAAAATTGCTGCTGGAAAAGTCCTCGGACTGGTGAGTCGCAGAGGTTGGCAGTGGTGGTGCTGCCCAGTGTGTTGGAGACTGAGCAGTGTTTGCAGGGAGTTTGGCACTGTTAATGCGTGGAGCTGGAGATGTCCAGGAAGTAGATTTACTCCTTAGTCAGTGCAGCACCTACTGTTATGCCTAGACATGATGGAACTAACCAATCCCATAGGAAAGGGAACTTGTTCCAATAACACTTATTTCTGAGCAAGTGGCAGGTGAGCGTGGCTTTTTGTTTTTGTGGGGTTTTTAATGCATTAAATTCTGTACCTAGCTTTACAGTGTTTCTCCAAAAAAAAAAAAGCCTATACACTTAAAACTTTTTTTGAAGATTAGTGTTTTGCTAAATTACCCTTGGGACTAGGCATATCACTTCTATGATAGACATTTTTGTATGTGAAATGGTTCAACAAAATACTGTTTGGTAGCATCAGGGTTTAGGCAGATTGATGCTCTGCTGCAGGAGACAAAAATGAACTCATGTAGTTACAAACCATTGAGTCCTGACAAGGGTTTATGATACTGAAATAAAATTCAGCAGGCAGAATTCATGTTCAGGGTTAGGGCAACAATGTGTGTTGGAAAAAAATGCCTAATCGCAGGTAAATACAGGATACAGATAATTGTCATTATGTCTGCCTACAGACAAGGGATTTCAACACCCCTTTACTGGAATAGTCCATCTTAGTAGAAAAAAAACATTTCTGATTTGGTGCCTCTGTACTTTGAGTGTTATTGCTGAAAAAAAGAGCGGCAGATGAACAGTCCTGCTCCCAAGTGAGCTTGAAAATCTGTGGGCTGATGCAAAGGCTCCCACCCTTCATTCCTGTGGTACTAAACACCCAGCAGAGCCATTAGTGGCTGCCTCAAGGCGTGATCTCAGAGTACGGTGGCAACACATGGATTTGCTGTGCAATTGTCAGTGATAGTTTCAGTTTTCAGGAATTCTGCTGCACAGCCACATTGTGCAGCTAAATCGTCTGTTTGCATTCAGTTTCCTCATGTTACAATAATTCTGTCTTCAATGGACACATTCAGTGCTGTCATAAGCTGAGCTGGCCACTATCTTCATCAAGAGGAAAAATCTCACAGGTGTGCTATGTGCTGCTCTGATGTCTATAACCACCTCAAGCCTTGAGTTTGGAGGCTTTTTGGTGTTAAAGCTGTGTAAAATACTTTCTTCCTCCTCCTGTCCAGGAATTGCACTGGGTTATTTTTTTAAGCTGCATTCTTGGAGCTATTGGCAAGCACTCTGTGCCTCTAGCAGGCACTGACTGAAGTGACACGCTTCCGAATTTCACAGTTAGCCTCAGCGGATTTGCACATGATTGAGATGAGATCGAGCCCAAAGCTCCAGGCCAGTGTTGGGTTTCTTATGGACCTGCCTGTGGGCGTGATTTTCAAGACAAGTTCACTTGGCACTTTGAGGTTGCATTCTTGCTAAGCAAGTGGGAAGAAAATACTTGTCTGTGAATGTAAAGTCAGAGGTTTCCGGTGCTCCGTCGCTTTTTTTTTCATGCAGGCTAAATTCTGAAAGTAACCCGCAGATTTTGGATCATTTCTAAGACTGAGTAACATTTTTGTCTCTATGGTTCTGGTGCCTGAAATTAACTTCCATGTCAATGCAGAACCATTAGGAGCTGTTCCTGTCCAGGACTTGACAGCTTTCTTCGTTTTTACATGACTTGCTGAGGAGCACCTGGATTTGGAGCTTTGAGGCAATATGGTCCAAGGGCTGAAGAGTGAGCTCTGGAGCTTGAGCTCTGGTATGTGGACACAAGCCAAGCTCAGTTACCTTAGGTTGAGCATGAAAAAGGAATAATTTGCCCAAATTAAGGTGCTTTCACACAAGTGTGACCCACAGTGTGCTCAAAAGATCTGCTAAACTAGAGTGTTTGTGTAGCAGGGTTTTTTTTCGTGACCCACAGTGTGCTCAAAGGATCTGCTAAACTTGAGTGTTTGTGTAGCAGGTTTTTTTTTTCTTTTTTCTTTTTTTTTTTCTTTTTTTTTTGTGACACCTGTGTGAGCAGTTGAACTCTCGGTGCTTTTGAACCTGGAATATCAGTGATGTAAGAAATGAATTTCATGCCATAGTGGGAGCAGACGTGTTCCCTGCATTGCTGAAGCTATTTGTTCAAGTTGTAGCTGTTGAATTTACGGATGGATTATAAATGTAAAAAATACTTTTGCTGATACCCTTTCTGTAGCTTTGTGCTGTAGATGGTATTTTATTAAATGTATCGGGTGGGCTGAGCCTAAGCTATGAAGTGAGAATTCCTTCAGGGGACATATAAATGACACCAAGATACAAAAATATATAGATGTGGGTATATGTATCCACAATATATATACATTGGTTCTGAAAGCTCAAATGTTTTTTTTTTTTGTTCAGAATTATTTCTACCATCCATAAAGACTTTGTTAGAGAATTCTGCTAACCATGTCTTCTCAGACATAGAAAGTGGATTTGCTGCATAGGTCATGTCAAATGAATTAGTAACAGTTAAGGAATGAGATCATTAGAGCTTTAAATGTTTTGCAGTGAGTGTGGTTTTAAAACATGTAGTGCTTAAAATATAATTAAAAATTAATAAATTTAATTAAAATGAATGCAGACTACTCATCTGATCTTGTAGGATATGGTATCAAAAAATCTCAGTAGGCTTCTTAAAAAGGCTCTTAAAAAGTAGGCTTAAAAGGCACTCACTTTGGAGTGCAAATCATATTTTCAGTGCATCCATTGCCAAACTCTGTAAACCAGGACTGCTTAAACTGTGACTGAAATGATAGACCTCCTAAGTACCTCACTAATGATGAGGGTGATGTGCTTTGGGATTTTCCATCATTTGTAAGAACTTACAAGTATGCTGTGAGGAATTGTCGGAGTTGAAGCTTTTGGCTCCCATGCTGTCTATGTGTGAGCAGCATGAAAGGTTCTCTCAGCATCTTGGTGATTGTTGGACCAAGGACACAGCCATAGCAGAAGCTGCTGGTTCCCCCGTGCCACTGGTTTTGCTATACCATAGCTCAGTCTCACGCAGTTATTTCAAGGACTAGTTAAATGCACGCTACATCTTCAAGTTCTTCATTGCCACTGAGCACAGGGCGGCCTGTGGAGATGCAGCGTGGCCTACCTGAGTATGTCTGTGGGATGTCAGGGCTGAGCCCTGCCTCCATGAAATCCCACATGATGGAATGGACCAGGAGACCAGTGCAGGGGCAGGATGGGGACTTGGCTTGTGCCTCTTCACACTCCGCACAGACACAGAGCAGTGGCATTCAGCATGGACACGGATGCTGCAGAGCAGGAAGGGACCATGGGAGGCCTGAAGACCTTTGGGGTGAGGTAGGATGCATACTGGGATACTAACAGCCCCCTTTTTTTGCTGTAGTCACAGGTACCAAACGAAAGATGTCCTGGACAAGAAAGATTCTGCTCTTCCTGGGGTTTCTCTCTACTTTGGCTGCAATCGCTTTAATTGCTGTAGCAGTGACCCAAAACAAGCCACTTCCAAAGAATATTAAGGTATTATGGGATGGGGCACTTACAGGAAAATAAGTGAAGCCGGGGAGATAGGGGCCTGTGTGCTTCAGGGCACCTCACTGTCCTTGTTTGGTCTTGCCTCATCTCTCTTTCTGACTCCATGCACCTCCAGCATTTCCTTTCACAATTCCCCAGCAAAACCAGATGTAGCTTGCGAGGGGTCGTCTCTTAAGTGACCATCTCATAAGTTCACAGCCCTCGTTTTGCTAGTTGTCTCCTTTCACATCATTTTGATGGAAATGTTGAACTGAAATGCTACTGATAAAACTAGTGAGACAGCATGTTCCTACAGCTGCCAGAGTTTATTTCTGGTCCCGCCCCCGTGCGCAGGACCAGCACTTGCATGTGGCAAATTCAGTGGCTCAGTTACGAGGGTACATCTGTTTTGTCCGCAGTACGGAATCGTGCTGGATGCGGGGTCATCCCACACCAACCTGTATGTGTACGACTGGCCAGCAGAGAAGGAGAACGACACGGGAGTGGTGCAGCAGGTGGAGGTGTGTAAAGTCGAAGGTAAGAGGAGGAAAGTGAGCTTTGGAAGGGACATGGGATGAAGAAGAGATAAGGCAGCCTAAAAAGCTCAGAGGATAGCTTGGGGGAAGAGGCTGACAGATGCAGTGTTGCATCTTTGAGCTGGTGCATCTCCCTATGCTTTCCATTGGAAGCTGTATGTGCCTGCCTGTCCTGAGAGGAAAGTTGTTTCCATTTTCCCTTCTTTTGGGATGCTTGGAAGAAAGTGTTTTTTGGAAAGAACTACAAAGAACATGCTCTCCCTCCTCTAGACTGGGCTTGCCCTCTGCTAAGGCCTCTGTGAAAGCCAGGCATGGTGCTTGGTGGCCATGGTTGCTCACCTTTTGCAGAGAAAATAGATTATCTTTTATATTATAATTATCTGCTATGTGGATATTATATTGTTGAAGAAGGCTTAAAAGCAGGTATAAAATGTGCATCACTGCCCTCGTTGCTGGTTTCTTGCCTGCTCTGCACAGACTCGGTACCAGCGCCAGGTGCTGCTGCCGTCCCTGTGCGTGGGGCTTCCTGGCAGCTCCCGCGGGCAGCGGGGCCTGGGCTGGCGCAGCAGGGTGGGGAGCGCTGCCAGCCACGTGCTGGTTAGAGAAGGGGTTGGTGCTGTAGCGTTTGTAAAGGCCCTTAGGAAGGGAAAGAAATGGTAGAGATAGGAATTTCTTGTTTAGCGAATTTATTGAAGTTTATGGGATAAATCTTTGGCTAAGGTAGAAAAACATGGTGGTTGAACCTGATGCTGTTGCCTCTGATAGTGATGAGGTTTACCATACAGGACTCTGGGGTTGTCCTTGGAGACTATCAAACTAAATATCCTGATTTTTTTCATTATTTTATCTCTTCCCGCAGGCCCTGGGATCTCAGGTTACTCCCAGGCCACCGAGAAGGCAGGTCCCTCTCTGACGCAGTGCTTACGCAGAGCTGAGGAGGTGATTCCCCCCAGCCAGCACGCGGAGACGCCCGTCTACCTCGGCGCGACCGCTGGCATGCGGCTTCTCAGGTACTGCAGCCTCGCGGCCACGACCCTGCGCAGCACCGAGCGGCTGTCCCGGCGGGGGCCTCTTAGCAAACACCCCCACCCACCTGGGACCTGCTCAACCCCATCCAAAAACACACAGCTCTGAGCCTTTGCTGGGTGAAGCACTTGGAAACGCTGCAAGTTCAGGCTTTGACCAAATGCCCTCTGCTCCCCTGCCCTGTCCTGCCAGAATCTCCCTGTGCCTTTCCCTGCTTGCCCAGCAGATCCGTGTCTATCTGCTCCCCTCTGCCCCTTTCACCAGCACCCACGTGCTGTGCAGAGATGCTGGAAGGGTAGTTGTCTCCAAGCTGGCTTGTTGAGGGGGTGCTCAGGCATTGCCCACAGTCTAGTATTAGGCCAGATCCAGGATTTTTGTGCCCAAATCTGATTTCTGCAGCTGTATCAGATGGTTCAGTAAAAGATTTTTTTTTTAACTCCTCACATACCCTGGCTCACATCAGAGCTAAGGTAACTTCATAATCACATGTCCTTCTTTAATTAGGATTTTCATAATTATTGATGATTTTTACGGAAGTGTCACAGACCTGTTTACTGACTGGGGCAGAGAGCTAATCTAATGTGTCTATTGCCAGTGGAAACTCCCTAGGGCTAGTAAGTGGCATGGTTTACCTCTTTAAGTGTGATGGTGAATACTGGGAGGACTATCCATGGTGGAATAGCTCCCTGGTTGGCATGTGCTCTGGGAGAGCTGGGGAGCTCTGGCCTCTGCTCCAGTTGCGGGGTCAGTAAGCATTAGGGCTGATGGTGGCTGTGCTGATGAGGTGCAATCCAGAGAGGAATTAAATCAGTTACAGCTGGATGCATCCTTATGAACTACTTACTAGTCTATTACCATTAACTTTTAGTGGGGGGTTGCATTCTGCTTGCTCTGAGTAAAGCCCATAGGTTGCAGGGAGCAGTCAGAGACACTCAGTTCTTTCTTCTGTTCATCCAGCTTGGAGAATAAAGATGCAGCTGACAAAGTCTTGTCCTCAGTAGAGAAGACGCTACGCTCAGCTCCCTTCAACTTCCAGGGTGCCAGAATCATCAGCGGTCAGGAAGAAGGCGCCTATGGCTGGATCACCATTAACTACCTGCTGGGCAGTTTCAAGCAGGTACAGTGTCAATGCCAAGTCTGTATTTGAATTACTGGCTTACAAGAATTGGTAAACTATGCCTTGTGAGACTGTGTTGTAATCATTAGCTTCCTTTTTAAGCCATTTAGCAGAGGCCAGGAGTTTGAACATCCTGCCTCAGCAGTTATCGTGAAATACAGTCCATCCGCTCCGGCTTACTAACTGCTGTCAGGACACACGAGCATAGTCAGGCTTAAAGCACTGAAATAAAACACCAACATCTTTCCCATGGATCCCATGGCATCCTCCTCACTTCCTGTTCTAAAATATTTCTGCACCTGAGTAAATATCTGGAAAGTTCCACTAAGAACTTCTTGGTATTTGACAAGGACTCTCTATTATAGAGCTTATACATTTTGAGAGAGCTAAAATAGTAAGCTGACTCTTTTTTTCATGTAACAGTTGTGTTAGATTATATGTTCTTAATCCTCATGTGAACACTCAAACACAATCCATCTGTTTTTCTGAGCCTGCGTCTTGTTGTTCTGCCTTTCTCCTCTTCACATCCTTCCCCCTCACTGTGGCCTTTCTTTCCTGTGTTCTGTGCTACTTCTCTGCTCCTAAGGCCTTCTGCCTTATCCATTTTTTTATTTCTTTACATTGTCCCTTCCAAACCTGCCAAGCCTCTTATTTGTAATTCTTTTTTTTTTTTTTTTTAAAGTCTGGATGGAGAAAACTTCTGCATATCCTGAAATCTAGAAGTGAGACATCAGGAGCACTAGATCTTGGAGGAGCTTCAACTCAAATCACCTTTGTACCAGATGAGACTCCTTATGAGTCCCCAGAGAGCTGGCTGCATTTCCGACTCTATGGCAAGGACTACAAAGTGTACACACACAGCTTCCTCTGCTATGGGAAAGACCAGGCTCTGCAGCAGAAACTGGCCTGGGACCTACAGGCAAGTACATCTGTGGTTGCAGGTGGAGATCCTGGAGCCCCCAGCTTTGCCGTACTGCAAAGTCTAATCCTTTAGACTGCATTTGGGAAATGTCATCCACCTCCATAAAGACTAGGGCAAAAGCTCAAGGAGATCATCAGTGAAGATGTTTCAAAAGTACTACTGATTTGTGGTGCCATGATTCTTGGGCACAGGATAACAGGAGAACTGTGCTCAACTGAAGTATGAAGGGGAGATGAGTTTTCACCATCTCTGGGAATCCCAGATACACAGCAACTTCAGATACTATGGGTGGAAGTAATTTCCCAATTACTATAGGAATTGGCAAAGGTACTGTAGGGAGACTGTGCTAAAATAAATAGTAGTACCCACATTTCCCAAATTGCAGCTAATGTCTTAAAGTCATCCTTACCACTTCGACCTGACATGCGTATCTTGGTGTGACACACAGTGACAAGGGCCTGTGGACACCCACCCAAGTGTTACTCTAGGGTGGAAGGTAATTCTTGGGTTTTTCTTACAGACCATTGAGAACAGCAGCCTCCTTGATCCATGCTTTCACCAGGGGTATCAGCGGACTATAAATATAAGTGACTTCTTCAGAAACCCTTGTACATCTGCTGAGAAAAAGCAACTTCCTTTCAACCAGTTGCACATCCAGGGAGAAGGAGATTATCAAAAGTGCCGAAGAAACATCCAGAATCTTTTTAACAAAACCAACTGTCCTTACTCCAGTTGCTCCTTCAATGGTATATACCTACCTCCATTACAGGGGGATTTTGGGGTGAGTTTGTGCATTCTTCAGCTCTCTATAACCCAGAATATCAGAAGAGCAGAAATTCAGAGTAATGTTAGAGTGTATTCTCCATGGCTGGGGCAGGAAGCCATTTATGAGATGGCTTTTTGGATATGTAACTACAAAAGTAGCCCTGCACTTTCTGTGAGGACAGAGCTTACTAGGGCTACCTGAGTAGCAGTATCAGCCTAGCAGTGCTGCTCATTTTAAGCGATCTTCTCTAGGCATCTTGGCATGTGTTATTTACTGATTTAATTTTCAAAGAGTCTTTCCCAATGGCCAGCACCAAAGGCAGGAGAGTTTGCTGTGGGCAGTGATACAGTGCTCCTGCAAGACTTGTGTCATGAGTACAAAGTGGTTCCTGATCTGAAATTCATCCAGAAGGGCATCTTACTGAAACCAGGCCTTCTGTTTCTGAGACATGATGAGGAGACAGTGCACACACTGAACACACGTCATGCTCGACACTATTACACTGAGAGCTGCAAGTCTTTGAGTGATTGAGAAGGAATAGCTGGGGGGAGAGTGTTAATACTTGCGTGCTTTGTTCATAAACTCATTCTTACATATCAGCTGTTGGCCATGGTCACAGATGGGTTATTTGGACTTTGAATCATCAGTTGGGATCATGTCTAGTCCTTTCAGACTGTCGCCTATCCTGACTGTAGTAATACTGGTCGCACATTCATCTCAGCAGCTGTCAAAATGGGATTGCAGTTGTGAGGGCGAGGAGCATTCACTAGGTTATGGCACCAGCGCGTAGAGATTTACCAGCGTGCTTCAGGATATTGTGGAGAGTGAAGTAGTTCTTTCTGCTGTCCTTAACTGTCATCAGTTCTGAGCAGTGTGTCTGGAAATATTTTAAATATATCTTCTTTGGTGTGTCTGCATGCATTTCTTGTATTTCTGCATCTCCTCAAAAAAACTCCTTTCTGCTGTGGAGCTTCCACTGGCCTGCCAGTGCTCTGGTCCTGTCAGGTTAAAATGTTTTTTCTCCTTCAGGCTTTTTCTGCTTTCTACTTTGTGATGAACTTTCTGAACCTGACAAATGAAAAAAGCCCTGTTCCTCTGGACAGAGTGGCCAGTGCTATTCAGAGCTTCTGTGCCCGGCCATGGCAGGAGGTGAGTAAAACTTCTGGCAGCAGCTGGAACTGCCTCTGTGACAGGTTAGAAATCCCATATGGCCAGTGCTGCTGGTATTTTCTGTAAGACCAAAGGGTTGGTGGTAATTTCCTAGGCATGAGTAGGAAGATTCCCCTCAGCACCTCCTGAGAATACTCAAATGCAAATCAGAGCTGTGAGAAAACTGCTTACTGACTTCTCTCTTGCTAGGTGAAACCAGAATATCATCAAGTAAAAGAAAAGTATCTGAGTGAATATTGCTTCTCTGGGACCTACATCCTTTCCCTCCTGCAAAATGGCTATGAATTCACTGAAGAGAACTGGCAAAGAATCCACTTCCTTGGGAAGGTGAGTTTTTTGGTGGAGGCAACTCTTCACAGCCTCTGCTGTATGTCCTGACCCTTCTTCTACAGGGGGTGGCCCTTGCTCCTCTGATGCTGATCCTGCTCCTCTCCCGTTTCAGATCGGCAGCAGTGATGCGGGCTGGACCCTGGGCTATATGCTGAACCTGACCAACATGATCCCTGCAGAGGAGCCTGCCGTGCCCCCTCTTTCCCACAGCAGCTATGTGGGGCTGATGGTGCTCTGCTCCCTAGTGCTGGTGGCCGTGCTCGTACTTGCCTGGCTACTCTTCCACAAGCCCAAGTGCCTGCAGAAGGGGATTGTGTAGGAAGCACTGTGGGGGGAGAGGGACCATGGCAATCCAGCTGGGCAGGTCTCGGAGCAACCCTGCAGAGCTGGCCTTGTACTGCAGAGCCCTCTTGCCTCTCGCTGAAGCTGCTGACTGTGTACGAGGGCATTGATTTCTCCTGACTCACACTTGCACTGACAGATGTTGGGACACCAGGCTCGCCACCGCACTCTGCCAAGGATGGACAACCTGGCGTCGTCGCCTTCTTGACTGGGTCCTACTTTCATTCACTCAAACTTTGCCACTCGTTGTTTTTTGCCTTGCTCACAGCAGTATAAAGATAAGAGCGGCAGCAATCGTTGGGAGCCAATGCTCCTGCAGGTGTAATCTCAGGGTCGCATGTGCCGCTGAGTTCTTGGAAGCAATCGCACATAGGGTGACCTGGCTCCTCCAATGAAGCAGTTCCCTAAAGCCCTTCCAGGACAGTTGGTGCTAGCACACCCCTGGCTCACCTCCCCATGCCCGTGGCCCTCACAGCTCCACCAGCTGAGGACAGTGTCCAGCTGACCCCACAGAGGCTGGCTGTGCTCCTCGGTGCCGCTCTGGTGCAAGAAGGATGGAGGAACCATGTGTGCTCATGGCCACCAGTCTCAGGCGCTTGGGCAGGTGTCTGTTCCTTTTACATGTGGTAGGAAGCCTATTTCCCATCTCTTCCTGATGCTGCTGCTGGAGCAAAGCAGGCTCGCTGTTATACTGAGCCATAAGGACAGTTGTATACATAAAGACATGAGCTTCCTGACAGGCATTTCGGATTTTTGTAGGAACGACTCATACTGGCCAAGGATCCCAGACCAGTAGCTAGCATGTACACCTGGTCCTATCAGCATGCCTAGGTGCATACTCAGAAAAGCCATCCTGTCTTATTGTGCTGATCATATATCAGCCTATGATCCAGGGAATATGTTTATTAGGTCATGTTCCTTTTTTTTAAAAAAAAAGGACATCTGGCAGCAGTTAACCAGCACAGAAAAAAAAAATCACAGATTAACTCTTCACATCAGCAAAATGAGTGAAAATTCCCCCTCCCCCTTTTTTTTTGCTTAGCTTAAAATTAACATCTCATAAGTCCTGGGGCTCATAGGTTCACATACTGCAGTCCATCTTCTAGCATTCAAGTAGGGGGTTGCCAGTGATCAGGTTTATACAACCACTTCCATTGTTCCATCCTCTGGTCCAAGAAAAAGAGAAGAGGTAAGCTGGAAATCCCTGTTTATAATGCTCAGAAACCACTGGTGCCTGTTTACCTCCCAAGAAAACTTCTCCCTCTCCTAATAATCTGGGCTAGAGGCCCAAAGAAAGCAGGTATTGTGAGGGGAAAAAAGGAATGGCAAACAAAGACCTCCACCTGTTTCCCCAGGCAAAAGCTGCAGAAGGGTCGGGGAGAACATGCACTCAAAAACCTTCTTTCAGCAAGCACAGGTGGAACTCAGGGCTTTTGTGCTCACCCAAGTTGTTCCCCTGTGCAGTACAGGCCAGACTCCCCCAGCCACTTTTGCTTTACATCTAGAAGCAGGAGCTTTAACTTATTGAAGGTCATGAAAGCAAGGGAAAAATCTCTTACCCTGTTTTTTGGTAAGATGTATGGGCAGTTCACTGTTCTTCCAAAAAATCTGTGTAATTTCTTCTGATCTGTTTGGTTTCAGCTGCTATTGGATCTTGATCAGCACATTTCAAAAAGCTGAGTAAGTCTTTGCTATGAAAGTCTACCCCCTTTTTTTTTTCTTGTTGGTGCTTGCAAGTTATCATCGTATCATATTAAATTGATTGACCTTCAGTCTGTAAAGTGCTTTGTCCTGACCTCTCTTGTAGCTCTTGATTCAACTTTTTTTTTGAAAATTTGATAACTTTCTGAAGTTTGGATACCAAAGTGTGCAGCAGTTAAGTGGTAGTAAACTTTGTAATAGCATATATAGAAGTAATACCATTTGTTAATGATGTGTCCCCTCTTCATATAGCTCAGGGTCAGATTTCTCTTAAGTGAATGTTTCATGTGGGGTATTTTGTTCAACTTAACTATTGCCACCAGGCCTTTTCCTGTGCCGTAGCATTCCAGAGCAGCCACTGCCTTGCAGTGTTATCTTTTAACCTGAGATATTTTGCCTTCCAAGTGGCTGTACTGAAACGCTTGCTATTCAAAGAATATTGCCCTAAGCTAGTGATCCATGTCAACCCACACATGATCTTTCCACATACTGTTTATCCATTTACCAGGTTTTGGTTTATCTGCAAATATATTGAGACCTTGAGATTCATCTGGAACTAGTCTCCTTTATGTTGTTTTAAGCAAAGGTACTTACCTGAGAGATTAATGGTATTTTTGGTTAAGGCTGGAAGGATATGAGTGTGATCAGAGCTACTTCAGTCCCCAGCGAGCTCTTCTGATAGACTGCGCTCCAGCCCTCCTCCTAACTCATTCCCTGTCACATGCTTTCATCCTTATTTAATGAACCTCCGTAAGCAGAGTGTGTACCCGGGAAAAGTTCTTCTTGCCAGCAGGCAGATCCTTCTTGGTGTCTGAAAAATATAAGAAAAGTACAGAGTGATAGTGTCTCTCGGCAGCTGAGAGCTGCTAGTGCTAGCCAGTTGTCTGTGGTCCTGGAACTGGCAGATCCATTGGGAAATTCCTGAAACTGATGCAGGAAACTCTATGTAGAAACAGATGTGGAGGGAAAGTATCTCTCCTGGTGCCCAGGAAAGGCTTATGCTAAAGGAAAAGAGGTCAAATATAGAACCTGAGAGAACAGCTTTATGAGCGATTCTCCTGACAGTACCATGGTATTGTTAACCCGAGATTCTAGAGTCAAATGATCAGCTGTTGTCTCTGCTTTTTCCTTCCCACCTTCCTTCTCTGTCCAGTTTCAAAACAAATAGAATCTGCACTTTGTAAATTGTGACTTAAGTGCAGCTCAAAGGCCCCAAACTGAGATAAATGTAAAGAATATAACTATTACTGTTTTTCTTAAACATTGTCATTTCAGGCCAAATTTGAGACAATCTTTCCTAAGGAGATACCAGAGGTGTCTTTTAAAACTCATTTGACATGATTAAGGCTCCAGGACTGGCTGACTGAAGGCATCCTGCCATAGTTTGTATAACTAGTTGTACTTGAACCCTTCCAGCAGAAGGTGTGATTTTTCTTCTCTGCAATTGCAGGACTTGGTGTTATCTAAGGAGCTTACCCCAGGCCAAAGAGTCTAAGTGTCCAATTTAATAAAAAGTCACTCCTGTGTTGCACTGGACTCAGATGTTGACTCAAGACCATAAAAGGAGTGGATTTTTCCAGGGATGCCAGAGAACAGTAAGATAGTGTCCCATTTCCTGTTAATGCTGTTGATCTGCCTCACTGGTAACTATTTGTGCCTTATTTCTGTTTAATAGCTTCTGGCTCTGGTACAGTTTTGTTCTTCTGGATTAAGAAGTCCTTTAACACCATGTGTTTTGTCTTATGAATATGTCAACCAAGTCCTCTGGGTTGTCTAGAATCTAGACCACTTGGACTTCCATGGTCTCTCCTGTGTCTCATGGCAGGAGGCCCTGCAAGAGCCTGCAGAGACTTGGGATGAGTTTCCTGAGGGATGTGAGGCCCTGATGTCTCTAGCTTCTGGCTGTCTTTTCAGGAATGTTCCCTGGGTGGGGCTTGACAGCTTTGCAGGAGCAACCTGTGGCTGGGCTTGGTGACTTCCACAAGCTTGTTCCCTTCTCCCCCTCACCCAGGGATGAGGGCTGAGGAAAAGCTGAAGTTGGGCTGAGATTTTTTGTGGAGGGAAGAAGAGAAAGTTCTGAAGGAACCCAGAAAATGCTGGGTTCCTCCAGCACTCCCATACCTTTTGTAAAAAGTGGCCAGTGCCTGCAAGAAGATCTACACAACCACCTCCCCAGCCAGCCTTTCTGACTTCTCTAGCCCTCTTGCAAAGCACAGCAAAACCACCCTAATGACTTGAATTCACTGTTGCGAGCAAAGCACATGGAATGGAAGTGGAGTCCTCATTGGCTGCAGGGAGATGCTTTTTGGGTAACATTGGTGCTGGTAGGGGCTCATCTTGTGCTGTGCCATGGCTCTGAGAGCTTCTCGATGTGTAGCAGGGCTGAAGAGCTTGTCTGGGGCTGCCAGGGGCACTTGCTCCATGGAGCAGAGGGAATCATGCTGAGGACAGCCGCCCGGGCCTCCTGTCACTTGGGCCTCGTGCTTGCTCTCGGCAGCTCAGCCCTCATGGAACAGATCTTTGTTTTGATGCACACATAACTCTGTATTCTTATCACAATAAAGACTTCTGAACTGATGCCAGCAAAGTTTTCTCACTGTTTTCCATAGATTGGGACGTTGCCAATAGTGGAGTACAGATTTTGGCATAAAGGATGGAAAAGTCTTGAGACAGGATTTCCCCTTTTGCTGGTTTCCTGCTATCCTTTCCATTCCAGATTTTTTAATTCCTGGTGGATGGGCAGCATCCCCTCCTGGCAAGGAAAGGCAGTGTGCCCCTTCTCCTTTTGGACACCCCTTGGGGGCAGTCTCCTTCCTAGGAAGGCTGCTAATGTCCAAATCCCATTTCCTTCACTGAATTCTCCCTGACCTCCCTGGGAATGTCTCCCGAGGTATTGTGCGCACTCACGTTCTCCACCATCACGCACTGAAAAGACTGAGGTCCTCTGACCCCCTCTCACTCCCTCACCCAGAGCTGGTACCCCTGGCTTTACAGCAGGGTTGCAACCCTACCATAAACAGGAGAAGGGTGTGGGGCCTCCGTCCCTTGGGCCTAGGGATGTACAGCCATGTGCATGCACAGCTGTACCTTAGCCAAGACAAACATTGCACATACGTGTGTGCGTATTTTTAAAGCACACTCCCCAATATGCTCATTTTATGGCTCCTAACTTTAAAGTTCCTCAGATTTTCCAGCCTTTCTCTTCTAACAATATGGTCAGAATTAAAATTAATGCACCAGGTGGAGTCTTTCCAATGTTGGCTCTGAAGGGATCGTCTCCTTCCTGCCTGTGACCTCCTGCCTTAGCAAGCAAATGTGTTGCGAGGGGGAGCCCGGGGCTTGCATTTGCATTCCTCTCACTCCTGCTGCTGTGGCACTGCACATTCCTCCTCTTGCTCTCATTTCTTTCTGCCTCAAGGTCTTTCCATCTTTGAACATCTGGGAGGGGTTGGATGATCTGTCCCAGATGTATTAACTGC